AGTATAAAAAATAATGCTTGAGTTTCACCAACAGTCAACAGTATAAAACAAAATGACATGGGTAAATAACATATTTCTTGTTTTTCATGTATATTCTTTATTTATTATTATAAAAGTAACAAAAATGTAAAAATCAGGAACTTATTAGGTTAGATTAGGTAACACAATGAATAATAACAAAAATTTTTAAGGAGGTATGCTGGCAAGTAGTTTTTGCATTACATAATTCAATATGGTAACTCAAGCTATGTGTTTACTGAGTAACTTACAACTTGTGTAGCAGGTTTTAGTTAGAAATGGATCAAAGGCTAATAAAACAATAAAATTTAAGCATAAACACAAGTTTATTGTTACAAGCTTTAAGCTATTTAGGGTAAACATTTGTAGTTTCCTGTTACAATATGCAGTCATTATAGAAAGAAAAAAAGTGTAATTTAGAATTATTTCATATTTTTCTATGGTGGTCATGAGGTTGGTTAAAATTACATTGCATACAGAGTTAGGGTAGGGAAAATAACAGACAAAATAGAAAGTTTTACTGAAAAAAAAAAGTCTGATATTTATTTAAGGGGCTTAGAGATTATGCAAATGGAATTTGAGATTTTTAAGACAAAAAGTATTAGTAAAAATACTTATTCAAAAATCTGATTTTTTTGCATCCAAAATACTTGTAATGTTTACTAAAGCTTGACAAATTTTGTGGAGATACACACAAAACATTAAAATTTATAGTATGGAAACTGTCACTTTGGGGGTTACAAACTTGGCTGAATCGACCAAACCTATAGTGAGAGGGTTAGATCATTGTCATCTTCTTGATTTGAATTAATAAAAAATGTAGAAAAAAAAAAGAATTCAAACAATAATCTACTTTACCTGATTCTTCTGCCGGGGTTGCAGTACCATTCCAAGACATTTGTGCTAGATTGTAGGCATATGGATAATATGAGTAAATGTGTGGAGGATAAAAGGGAAAATATGATGTTAAGTTTACTGGTCTATTTGTAATCCATGTTGGTATTTCTTCTTTTTCTTGTGAACAAGAAGGAGAGTTCTTGTCCTCAATATCCATACTTTTTGGTCTCATACAATTCTCTTGACTGAAATTGTCAACCCCTAAAAAAGTCAGTATGAAAACACAAGTTAATTAACCTAAGAAACACTTTTTTTATTGTGGGTTTCAGCAAAATGTTTTACTAGTTCATAAATTACAAACCATTACTGCATGAGCAACAACTATTTAATACATACACATATGTGAGGCAGTTTATTAAATTTTTTCTCCAATTAAGTCACAAGACCATTAATATTAAGTTTGAACTATAACTAAGAAAAATTTTTATTTGGTAGTGTATTTGTTAAACCTAATGCTTCTGATATGTGAGTGAAACTAGGTTTAATAATTGTTACCATAATGTAACTCATGAAAAAAAGCCAATTTATCAGAATTAAACATAAAAGGATATTCTACGCTTTATCTATGTTGTTTACTGCAATGAAAATTACTTTTTGTGGGAAGCTAGCTATATTGTTGTGAAGAGAAAAAATAAAATAAAATTAAAAGAGCAAAAATGCATTAAGTAAAACAAAACTATAGCAGATATTAGTAGACAAATGTTAATGATCACCAAGTCTGATATAGGATGTGTCTGTTATGTTTGGGATACGTATACACAGATGTTGAAAAATACTGAAATATTCCAGGAGCCTCATATACTCTATTAGTAGCAAATAGAATAAGATTCTCTAACATGTGGATCCTCAGAGTATCAAACATACCCACACACACTAACTGGAATTAGAGAACTTATCCCTCAAGGTTTAGCAACTTTGTTTACAAATTCTGAAACTAAAAACTATTGAGCACCAGGATCATAGTCAGCACAACTATATCAATTGTTCCTAATATGAAACCACACAGAATAAGCATGTTACTGAATCAGCTCATGAATACTAGCTGCAACCTGCAAAATAGTTGTGGTAGTTTTCATGCCCTTTGCTTGAATTTTTCCTGTTATATCATTTTCACATACATCATTTAATTTACTCTTTCTTGCAGGCATTGTATTACATTGATAAATCCTGGTCTATTTGAAAAAGTTTTACATTGTCAGACAAACACACTCACATAGATGTAACTTTATTTAGTAAAACAAAAGTAATAGTATTCACAATAGTGAACAGAGTACAAAACAGTTATGAGCATTCAGTGTGACACATGGTTTTTACGAGTTGAAACGAAGAATAAAATCCACAATAAAGAAAAAAGTAGCTAAAAAGTGTTTATAGTAGACTATGTAATGAACCGAAGCTAAATTATTGCAAAGTAAAGGTAAAGTTGTAATGAAGGTAAACTTAGCTGAATATGCAGAAATGTCTGAATGCGCGTTCACAAAGTGATAAGTATATACCCACGCATATTTTAGACCTAAGTCGAGAAAGCCCATAGAAATTGTATTTAGAGTAATGTTAATTTTTTAAAGAAATTACATGCAGGCTAAGTGTTGTTTGTGTGAAGTACTATGCAAATAGACAAAACTAAAGTTGAAATCAAAGCCAGTCATCATGTGATGACAATGAAAATATTCCATTGTGTACCATACTCATTGCATTAAGAAATCTGACTAAGCAAAAAACGTGTAAGGTGATTCTGAATAGAAAAGCCAATATGAAATCTAGACTCCTTGGAAAGGAACTTTCTAACAATGATACTTGTAACATTAGTTTGAGAAATGTGTGAGAAAAGTTCCAGACAAACAAATGTGAGTGTACTGTTTATGCAGATAGTCTGTGCTTGTAATATAATTTTCTGTCTTTAATTTAGTACATGCCAAGAAGGCTAATGTCAAGAACTTTTCTGTCAACCGAGAGTAACAAAAAGTAGTGAAACTAACAATTTACTGTGTTAATCACACATCAATTTTATCTTAGTTTGATCACTCAATAAATTTCAGTGTTACATAAATATTCTTCTTAATCTGTTACATATCACTTGGTGAGTTCAGAATGATAAGGTGTTGCTAAATAATTATACTGTACTATAAAATCAAGCTCTCACTGCCAAACACATACTTAGTATGCTATTATGCCTGTCGCAAACACAGCCACTACATTAAATTATATACAACCTTCTGTACAATCACAAATTAGATGGTATCTACAGAGGCCAGTATGTGATTTAGTACAAAATTTACTAATAGTAAACTATTTCATTAGGTTACATTTTTTGTACAAATATGTGGAAACTATTAATGCTGTTTTAAAGAACTATAATGTTTTTAATATAAAAAGCACTCAACTTTCAACATAATTTCTAGTCAACTCAGTTGATTCAATTTCTTTTCTGTGGGGTGACTTTTCAATTACAGGCTGAAATTTTTAAATCTCTGCCTAAATACAATTTTCAATACAAAAACAAACAAACAAAACAAGTAAGCTATATATCAAACCAAACAAGAGATTACTAACAAACTATTAGAAGTAAACAAACATAAATAATTTATAGTACAGAAAATTATACTTCTTTATGAATTACACAACAAAATTGTATACTTCTTAAATTTTTAAGTATACTTAAAAAAACAACAACAAAAAAAAAAACATTACCTGATGAGGGTGACCCCCCATTCACATTCTCAATACAGTTTGTTGGATAAGAATATGCAACATTATAGATTGGCATAGACAGGTAAGTCAGGCCTTCTTGTTGTTCTTGGGAGCTTGCTAGAGAAGCAACTGCTGGCTTTGTACTGAAACTAGTCCATTTAGTTCTTGCTGGGGTTAATGTGTTTGTGACACTACTGGCTACAAGGGGTGATGCTAATGTCTTGGTAGCAAGACAAGTGTTCAACAAGTGTTGTTTACTGACACTACACACAGGGGATGAGGATGGGGACTTGAGGGAAAATAAAGACGAACGTAGATCAGGAGGAGATGAAGATGGAGAGAGCTTGATCTGACTGGAAGACTCAAATGTGCTGAACTCACACAAACTTGGAGCAGATTCATTTGTCCACAACAAAGTTAAATCATTCTGCTCATTACTGTTACTGTTTAGCTTTTCACTGGTTTGCCAATTACTTTCTATGGCATGTGACTTGTTTGGAGGTGAGTGAGTTGATTTTAAGGACAGATCTAATGGCACTTCTCCTGGAATGAAAATATTGAAAACCTTGAAAAACCAATACTCTAAATTTCAGATGAAGTACCTGTGTTTTGTTGTTACAAGGAAGTGACAATAAAACAAGAAACAATTAAAAACTTGTAGTAAATTTTGAATGAAACTACTTAGAGTTTTATATTTCAGAAAAGTACAAATTCTTAAGACTTAATATTCAATACACCCCCCTTAAACAAAAGAGCAATCTGATTAAAAACAAAAGATGAAAACATCCTCTGCCACAAACACAATAGTTTGTCACATACACTTTCTGAGACGGAATCATTCTGTTGTCCAGTTTAAGCAATTATATGAAGTATTTTACTTTTTAAAACCTACCACCAACTTGTTCCCAATAAAAATCATTCTATTTATTCCTTGTCTTAAAACTGAAATTAAAGTAACATTAATGTTTTTATATCAAGGCAACTTACATGAATATTTGTGTAAGACAAGTATTATAATACAAGCTACTGAACTTGCCAAGTTAACTCTTTATAGAAGTGATAGTCATGATGGAAAAGTAGATTTTTAATATTAAACATAAAATTTTCTCTTCTGTTTTAATTCTTTCACTGAATCTGATAATTATGCAGATAATACAATAATGATAAACAAAACTTTAATACATAACTATATTTATAACTTCTAATTGTAACTCTTAAAAACTATATTCAAATGCTGCTGACAAAGTATGCAAATGTGAAATTCACTGAGGTTGGGTCAATATTTGCCAACCAAAATGACCCTCATCAGCACGTCTTTGAAAAGTTATGTTGTGGAACACCTGGGATCCAACCGGACTCCAACACAAAATTATCATTATAGCAAGCTTTGGATTTAAATTCCGAAAATCAATAGCATTACAACTTTCACTAGGGTTAGCATGCAATGTGAACAACATAAAAATATATGTATTATAGAGGAAGTATGTTGACAAATCAAGAAATTACAAAATTACATTGTTCCTTGGTATATAAATTAGTGTTATTAAACCATTGCTTATACAGACATAGTATCAAAAAATGCTGAAGTTTTATTATACTCCTATATTCAAGTCATTATCCACCAATATATGATGAGATTACCACAATACTGCAAAATTTAACTCAAAGAAAGCTGAAAGTGTATGTTTTGGGTCACCTCGGGTCTGACCAGACCATGCATCCTTATAGTAGGCCATAAATTGAAAATCCAATAAGCAGGATGTTTACAACAATTATCAAAGAAGGTTTCTATAAAATAGGACATTATAAGCAGTCATCACAGAGAACACTTGTTGAGGAATGAGATGCACATACATGCTTACCACAATTATAAGTAAACATACCAGATGATACTGTACTACTTTGATGGATTATCCTCTATAACAGCCTATATAGGGACATAAATGTTTAGAAATTTGTTTTGTATGTTATGGGGTGAATTGCATGTGTGGTGAGGGTCAATGATAGTATGGGGTCCTTGTGGACCCCAGGTAAATATTATATTATAGCTACATACTCTGTCTGCCTGTTTTGAAAATTATAGTGTCACATTGATCCAGGGTTTCTGCTTGACAATTACATGAATTGATATAAATTTGTAATGATTATGTAAAAAGATACACAACCAAAATGTTGTTGCAGTCCATATGGACCCCAGGTGTGCTGATGAGGGTTAATTCTTGATAACTCAGTAAGAATTTAATGAAACAAATAAAAAACAGTACACCACAGGTCTGAATTCACTACAAACTTGGTGTATAAATATAAAACTGAACAATGCATTTAGTATAAAATTACAATTACCACAAGTACGACTAACTATGTCGTAAAATACAGATTAGTTGATTTATAAAACTTCAGTTTACTTGCATTAAATAGCACTAGTATGCATAAATTTATATCAAGCAAAATATGATACATTAATATGTCAAACTTGATCAACATATACAATAAATCCAAAACAAAGTAATTCCACAGTATAAGGAATATAGATATATATACTGATAAATATATGGATGGCAAGTTTTGCCTTAATCAGAACACCAGTAACTAACCTTTGTTTATACTGTTTAGCTTGTATGAACTTGACGATGATTGCTTGTACTCAGATTTATCAGTTGCTTCCAATACAGTTTTCAATACAGAAGAATATGAGATAGGCACTGAACTCCCAGATTTTTCGGACTTACTAGTTGAAGCATCACAATTTACATGAGAAAAGAATCTCTTTGTTTTATTAAGGGAGCCAACTTTTTGTGGGTCTTGCTGATGGCAGGGAATGTACAAGGGAGTCTTTCTTCCCTCAACTTCATGAACGAAATGAGCACTGGGAGATGTAGATTCTGGTTTAACACAAAGTTCTTCCTTCAGTTTAGTACATAATTCATTAGGTCTGGGCAATTTCTTTGTACTGCACTTGTCAACGGGACTATGAAGAGGGGATACATCACTGTCACTTGGGTCTGAACATACACCAGACAGGGGAGAGAGGTTTCCATCATGGGGTGTTGTTCTACCAAAATGTCTACACTCAGTGAGAGATGGTGATTGTGGTGAATGTACAGGTGCTACCAGGCTTTCTTCTGGCCAAACAACAGCAAAATCATTCTTCAATTTGGCTTTTTTAATAAAACCTCCTCCTATCTCTTGAAAGTTAGCATTAGCGGTTGTTCCTCCATCTTCAGAAAGCTCAGATACAGAACTTTGATCAACATATTTCTTCTTATACTGCCGTGCTTTCCATGGAAATGGGACTTTGGGGGTGTCTACAGACTGGACCCACTGGCACTGTTTTCCATTAGCCTTTGACTGTTGGGCATTAAGTTTTAGGACCAGTTTTCCATCTAAATAAGAAAATTTAGATAAGTAAAGAAGAATATGTTAATATTATAATACACTAAAATGTACGTAAGCTAATTAAAAAATATATAATCTCTCTTTTAAAACAGTGGCAGACAACTCATGAACTAATTTTAAATGATACCCATCATGATCTTTGACATAAATGTCAGTCTTTATTAAAAACACCCAATAAAACTAATATATTTAAAGTATGGAAAAAATAACTTACGAAAATAGAACTGAAGAGTTCCAAGAATAGAGGACTCAAGATCTGGGGTAGCAGGAACTAACTCAGTCTTCCTGGGTTTAACTTCCAGAACTTCAAAAGCTGAAGGGATAGTGGATGGATCAGGATGTGATTCTGTTTCACCATCTTGTTTACTCTCCAGCGGTTCCTCAACATGTTCTTCTTGTGTCGAGTTATCTGGTTCTTCACTACTACCACTATCAAGGGAGGTATGAGGATCCCCTGCATCCTCCATGTCTGCACTTTCTTTCTGTTCACAGAAACAAAATAGATCAGAATTGTGCTTTTGTATTACAATGATTAATTAATGCTTTTTACATGCAAGCAAGTTTTCTTTCTTTCTAATGTACTTTTTTAAACAAATATATCAATTAATCCAATTTAAAGATTACATATTACATACTTAACATACACACAAGTACAGCTACCTTTAGACTCAAGAATTAAATGACATAAGTACTTATTAGGACAAAGGTAAATGGTACAAATGCCTGACACTTTCTTATCTTATACAACAAATCGTTCAGCTGTTATGCTGGATACAAGTCTTGTCATTCAGTTATCACCAACAGCACCTTTAGAATGTAAAATGGTGTTTGTGCACGCACATTTAATATGTGCCTCTTAAATCTGAAAATGAATTTGTTCTGAATAACCCATGATCATCACTTAAGGTTCTAATACATATAAAGATATGTTATAACAAATTGTATGAGGTTGATTTAAGGAGGTGTTCAATAAATTAATACTGAATTTTTATCTAACTAGTCATATCATATTTATTTCACAGGGAAAATTTCAATACACTACATATCTCTCTCTCTCTTAGATTCAAACTTTGTGTAACTAGGAGATTAGTTATTCTTCCTAACAACTCCTGAAATTTAAAAGTAATATTGCTCAAAAGAAATTATAAATATTAACATCAAACCTTCCTCAAGATGCAAAATTAGTCTTCGAAAGTTAACAATAATTATCTCACCTGTCACATGGTAAACCAAAAACTATCCATCTTTCAATCTTACAACAATAAACAATCAGTACATCAACAACAAAGATTCTAAGTTCAAGCAATTATACTTTTAAAAAAATTACATAATATTCTAGAATTATCTACTTATTTTATACATTAACACTGCTCCAAAATTATTGTTAATATTCTTGGGAACAATGTCCAGTTTAGAAATATATAAAACCTTCAACAATGGCTTTAAAATCATACTGACTTTTAACTTTGCTGGTGAAAACATGCTGGTAGATGCTTCACTCACATCACTAAGACAATGAGAAATACCCGGACGTTCTTCTTTCCCTTGGTAATAATATTCTATAATACTTTTCACAGGTTTCCATGGTAACTAAGAAAACAATATCATTTTAAGAACCAACAAACATGAAGTATTAAAATAACTATCATCACTGATTAAATATATAAATTAACCCTTTTCTATCTAGATATATTTAATGTGTATACTTCATTACATACCACTCATGTTATCATTCCAAATCCACCCCTGAAGAAGGGAAGGTCTATCTATCAAACAGGGATGGATTGGACTCTAAAATTCTACAAAAAAGCTAGAGGGAGCCCACATATTTGTTATAAAATAACAAAATTATGTACTTAAGAAGCATATGTAACTTAATAATAAAACACTATCATATATAGTTAACATGATCAGTTATTCTGAAAATACAGAGAAGTCATACATAAGATACGAGATAATATCTTCCAAAAAATATTGTCAACTAAAATCCTTTCTGGTGCACATCATTACTGGTAGAATTAACACATGTTAATTTAAATGTTAATGTAATGAGAAAAGACAAATAATTATTTCTCTATGGTGCTAACAGAGCATTATTTTTTAATTTTTGTTTTTATGTACTTTTCCAAGGGGACCGACTGGGATTTTTCCCAATGTCCCAGTTAGCCAGTTCATGCCTGCTTTTAAAAGCCTTTTGGTTGTCATGATTCTTATTTTTTGTTTCATCTAATGTCTGATCCAGTGTGATTTCTTAATATGAGAAAAACAACACTTATGCTAGTCAACCAATCTATATTACATTAGTAGCTTTGAAAATAATTTCTTTTTCTGAGAAATATTCTTAATATCTTTAGTCTTTTTATTCATGATTATTAAATGATTTTTACTTGCAAAAAACAAGTAATACAAACCTTAAATAAATTTTAGAATTCTCAGAGTTTACTGTTTCTTGAAAACAAAGTCAAGTGATCAATGTCCAAAGTTTGCATAATCTTTACGATTCCATTGCAATATAGTACAATTCACATTCTTTTAAAAATCAGATATTACCGAAATTACCTTTTTCTCATTCATTACTCTGTATTACAGTTTTTTTATTGCGAATAATATGTTAGATTAAAAAAATTTGGAAAAAAATCAAGATTTACAAATTTTTGTTCATGGAAGTGAGTGTAGAATTCTAAATACATACAAACTGTGCAACAAAATCATATGTTTAGATACATCAATTAACATGAAAGAACTTCGGATGGAATACACTAATATTCCAATTCTCAACTGGTGGTATACAGATAGTCTGTGGAAGTGAAGTGGCACCATAGTGTGTAGATCCCATTATGGTCCACTAAGACAGAAAATGTTTGAGAACCACTGCACTAGTACATAGATTGAAAAAGGAACAAAGGTACAGTGGGGTTTTGATCTATGGTTTTACTTAAACACAGTTTTTATGAATAATTAATACTTATCATTTGTCTCAAAAACTGTAAAGGTGGAAAATGTTATCCAAGAATAAGAATTTACCAGTTATATACTTGTTTCATCTGACAACAAAGTCCCAGTTAAAAATTAAATGAACAAGCAAATCAACTAGTTACTTGTCACTGAATGTAAGGCTTGCTTAATATAGATGGTATAAACATTACTAATTTTTTTACATAGCTTGAAATGGAAATATTTTTAGAATTTTACAATAAAGTACTTAAAACAGTAATGTTATGCAACAAATGATCTCCTCAACTAGTGGTCCAGGCTTGGCTTTAGGTAATGTGCTCAAGTCCTTGTGAAACATTATATAAATTGTATTTATAAATGACACATGCAACAACAACAAAAATCCCAACATTTAGCAAAGAACATTAACGTTTAAAGAAAGTGTACTTGGAGAATGCATGGAAACAAACTGATTAATATAAATACACACAACTTTCATACACTACTAACAGCCTAAAGCTGTATAAATCAGAATATTTAGAACTTTTTACAAGATTAAAATAGCCAGTAGTTGATCAGAATTTTTGATTATTGTAATCTGTGTCATATCCAGGCAGAAAACACAATAGCCAGAAAGTCTGTTCAAGCACATAAAAACAATGGAAAGACTAGTTAACCTTATTCTAGTTGAATAATATAATCTAATCAGAGCAATTATTTTCTACTGCCAATAATTTAACATATTGATATAGGTTATGTCTGTTTTGTATCAAGAGACATGAAAAGCGGAATTTGTAAGTTGAGTTACTTTTGTAAAAAATAGGTTTCAATTATTTCAGAATCCTTAAATTTTTCTTTGCATATGGTTGCAAGAAGAGATAAAAGGGTTGTAAAGCCTAGTGTAAGGTTGAAACATTTGTTAAAATTATCAATTCTAGGGGCCTGAACATAACATTGTAAGTTTTATCAAATGTACAAATTTCATTTATTCACTTGAAGTGTGAAGAGTTATGCTTGAAATGCAACTTTTTAATTGGTTTATAATATGATTAAACATGCACACATTAAACAGTAATACTGATTTCAATATGTATGGCCTATATTGTTTTAAAATTGGTTGGAAAGCATGTTTTGTTTACCTACTAAAGTATTTTAAGTAATATGTACAATACATATTACTTGAGATAATGCAAGATGCACCTCAAGATTAAATGTGCACACAAAAAAATAACTTTGGGTGTATAAGTAATAAGAATTAATTTAAAAGAGTTTAATATTGTTACACCTTTAGTAAAAAATGTCCAGCTAAATTGGTTTATCTTGAAAAAGTACTACTATAAAATGTATTCTGTATTGAAGACAAGCTACTGTGAAATATACCTGTATGTCAAATGGTGTTCCATTTAGGATGAGTGAACTGTAATAACCCTGGACTGATAGTCTGTTGTGGAGAAAGTGTTATAATATTCTTGAGTTTATATATCTAAAACTTTGTTTACTATGTAAAGGCTTTTCTCTGTTTGAAATTTATAGACAGAATATGTGACCTCTCATCATCCTTGTCATCATGATACAAACTGTCAACTTTCCCAGCCATCTTCTGACTCTCAACCCTCTGGTTCCAACAGTTCTGGTGATTGGACATATGATGAAGCTCTGCTGTTTGCAAGAGCTCTAGAAGCATGTGGAAAGAATTTTGGGGCTATTAAAAAACCCACAATCAAAGTCCAACACACCAAACATGCCCATGGGGGCATTATTATAATGTGATGATGAATTCCTCTAATGTTGGTAAAAGAGTAGCCCAAGAGTTGGCAGTAGATGGTGTTGCCTAGCTGTTTCACTCTAGTTTACCACTGCTACATTAGGGATGGCTAGTGCAGATAGCCCTTGTGTAGCTTTGCACAAAATTCAGAACAAACTAAACCAAAAAAAGACTGATTTTTAGACAATTAAAGGATGGACCTAAAATTAAGTGTTTTATTATATAGTATAAAATATTCTAAACAATATAGGCTTGTTCTTCTGCAACAGTAGATTTTTTCCCCAACTTTAGAGACATTATATTGTGCTGTTCTTGTTAAGTTTAATTTCAGTATTTCATAGTTTAAGTACAGTAAATGGTCTTATAGAATGTATTAAGTTTTAATACAAACTGTAGAGGGAAAAACTTCTCTTTCTTCACTTCCCTGAGATCAGATAAAGTTAGTGCTTTTAATAAACCTTAAACAATGTATTTTAATCCATATTTAGTTTGAAAACTATTAATGTTAAACTTTGAATACATGAAGATGTTTCTACAGAAGAATAACATGCTACTGTGAGGTACATCTGAACATAAATTACTACACCAAATCTAGGTTTAGCTAGCACTCTCATCAAATTTCCAAGTGCCCTAACCACCAGCCCATGGGAGGCCCAGTATTCTTTGTAGAAAAATACTTTCAAATTTATGTGAAATGTTTCCAGTGAAAACTGAAACTTAAGATGGCTTCAAACTAAGAACATTCATGCACACTACACAAATAAAAACTATATTTTCCCTTGCTGGTCTTCAAGTATACAATAAAAGACTTTTACAAAGCATATATCAAACTAGAACCGTAAATTCTGGAGTTTCAAATTAATATTTTCTTTTCTTTCTTTTACTTAATGAGCAACAATAGGAAACAATGACAATAAATAAAAAACTTCAAAGATTGTTAAGTGAATGTAAAACCGTATTGATTTGTAAAAAAAACACACATTATGTAATTTATAATTAATAGTCATTCAGTGTTAAAGAATATGAAAGACAGACTTACCAAACCTCTTAAAGCTGTCTGTATGCACTTGTCCGACTCCTTATGCAAATCCTGACATTTATCAATAGCTCTACCAAAGAAACTCACAGCTCTAGAAAAATCAAGTTAATAAGTATTACAATTCAATTTTATAATGGGTATCATCAATGATGACATACAAATTATTTTAGCTACTAAGATGGTAATTTAGTAGAAACTGATTCACAGTAAAAACTTGTATGTTATGGGTGGTACAATTAGTACTGTTTTTTTCAATTAATGATACTTCTGAGCTCATCACAAGAGGTTCTAAGACAAAGTAATTTCATTTTCTGTGTGTAGTCTGTAGCATGGACAGATTCATAATTTACACTGGTAAGGCATTCAACAATTTTCATACTTTTTAGGATATAAAGAACATATTAGTCACCCAGATCTATATATGCACACGCGTGCGTGTGTCTGTATATAAAATATAACAGAGTTTTCCATCTAGATGTATCACAAGCTGCTATGGGAAACTGGCCAAACCAATTTCATCGAAATTTTGTAGAACTTGTACAGACACTCAAAGATCAAGTTTAAATGGATAAGTACTCAAACTAAGTTAAAGTTTAGCACTCATTTCATTTATCCCAACTTCATATTGCAAATGAAAGTTTAACTGAGTGAGGAGGTTGATAGGAAAAGTGTGTGAAGCCGAAACCAACTAAAAGTGACACCTAACTCTTTAAACCCATAATTTTCATCATTTCCTAATAATTATCACCATACCTTAAAAATTTCAATTTTGTGGAAAATAACATGATTGGATTAGTTTTCAGTCAGAGACGTAAACGTTATCAGATGCTGTCACCATTTGATGGGTAAATTGAGATTTTTAGCCAGACGCTGTCAGCATCTACTCCGGTTTAAACAGTTAATGACATGCACAGTACAGGTACCTTTGACTGGAAGAATGGATTATGTACTTTGGCTCAAAAAAGTGGAAGGGTAATGGATTTACTTAGATTGTGCAATTTTATACTAAAATAAGCTTTATCATCAACAACTTGGTATATAATTGCACAACTAAGCAAATTAATCCAAGTTAACGTGTATTCTCAAGATAACTCAAAATTTATATAAAATTAAGAAGAATATTAATATTTTTAATTACAGACATTGAGGACAAAGGTTATAAAGGCTTGACTAAGTATTAAGAGCTAGGTCTTATTTTTGGAATTTAATTTAATACATTGTTTTTTTTTATTTTGCTTAAGTAACCAACCTAAAACTTTTAATTTGTTATATTGTCAACATTATTGCAACAAGTCAATGAAACATGCCTGTTGCTACAGTGATGAGTAATGATTACCAGACTTGATCAGTGGTGTCATGGTAGAAGGGTGAAGCAATCCTCTTCCAATTAAATTGGCCATTTGGTACAAATTCAACCAATAAAAAAATTTATTCAGTAAAACTTGGGTCTTTAGGTTTTAACAAATACAATGAGAATCAAGAAACAAATTTTAAATTTTACTGAATGGTGCAGTACATAGTTTACCGAATGCAAAACTATCCCTTGCTAACAAAAAACTTCACATTGGAATGCTATCCACTGTGCTTTTAAGCTTCAAAATTTTAACAAATGGTGCAACATTTCCTTTATCAAATACAAAGCCATTCAATAATAATAAAAAAATTTGCATTGGACTGTTATCTAACATTCCATCATTTTTCATTTAATCCACAACTCAAATTTTATCAAAGGACACTTTTATTATTTGCACTTAAGGATTTTGAAAATCAAACTGGAATTGAGAAACAAGCTTTAACTTTTACAAAAATAATAAAGAGTTTGTTTTACTACATGCAAAACCACTCAGTAAAAATAAACTTTGCCCCCTCCTGCTACTTTATTATTATTATTATTTTTTTTTAATCAGCTAACACTAATAATACTTCATAAATTTTCAGAACTAGTTTAGGGTTTTGAAAATTCAACAATAGTATAGAAACAAGCTTCAAATTTTACCTAATCACATGGTTTACTAACTCAAACACAGAGCCTTTCAGCAAAAAGAAACTTAATTTATTTATAATATTGCTGAGCAGTTTTCTACCTGTGGATGGTGCTTCAAATTTACTAACCTTGCTACAGAAAAGTATTCATCCAGCTCTTGATCATTCAGATTATTAGGTTTCCACTTCAGTGTCTCCAGGTCTTCCAGTCGTCTACCATCAGACTCTCCTTCACAAAAATAAAATCCTATAAATTTTCTCTTTAAGCATGTTCATCATTTTAAAGTCAACTAACAAAATAAAATAAACACTTCTGAAGTTAACTGAACCAATTTTGTTTGAAATATATAGAAATTCTGTTGTTGTTTATTTTATACAAGTGTTGCAGAATGATGTTCCTTTAACCCCTTCGATGTGAGGCTTTTTTTAAATTAAATTTAAAAAAGTCAGGTTTTTAACTTGCTTTATTGATAGCCTATATTTATATATTAATGAAACAAAAGTTCTTTTATGATATGTTATATTTCTACACAAATATACTTGATAAATAAATGTTACATAACTAGATTTATACAAGACGTATTATTTCAATGTAAAGAATAGGAATGCTTTACTCCAGTATTTATGATATATAATTCATAATAAATCCAACAGAGATCAGCACAACCATTTCCAATGCCATCTAGTAGTCATTGATTATAATACATGATAACATGAGAAAAATGTTTTGCAAATAATTTAAAATACTGTGAGAAATGGTTTGCCTGAATTAACTTGGGCAAATATTTTTTGAAACATGGAAGGTGTCCAAGTTATCTTGGGCAAATCACAGAATGGGTTAAGCAATCTTACATACAAATGCATGGTCAGGATATGGGATCAAAATTACAGGGTACAGAAAAGTCTGTCCTAATTATTGTGAATGTCATGTGTATACTAAATACCACAGGAAAAATACATGGCAACTGCTTCCCCTTGCCCCCATAATCCCATCTTAAAAAAAACAAAAACACTAAATATGTGCAGTATGTAATAATATTTCAATGCTTAGGAAAGAAGTACTATAGAGGGTTGAGTATTTCATATTAAAACAGGTCACATGACAACCACAGCTTACATAAAGTTGAGGTGAAATGGACTGTATCAGAACCAGATGATTTTCATAATGTATGGCATTCCATGTGATGCCACTACTGGGAAGGGTATGTACAGTAACAGCAATTTCTGGTGCAAAATATTTGTACAGTCAGATCATAAAGATGTGTTCATGTCTAGCATTTAGAATTTTTCCAAGATAGGGATATCCCTTGTACATAATGGAACTGGTATAAAAAATATATGGATCAACACAGGGTACCAGGACCATACAAAAGAAACCTACAACAAATCATACCCCAGTTCTAGTAAGCAAAATTCAGCATATTGTGACATGTGATATTTATTACTCAGATTATAAAAATTAATACAGATTGAGGATTTACCATTTCCAAGACGGATATATTACTTGCATTTAACTCTGTATATGGGCTCAATCATTTTGTCTGACCTTGTAACCACAAAAGTATAGATATTATAACTTTGAATGTACTAATTATGTCTTCATGAAATTGGTCATGCTTTTAGTAACATTACAAATCTGTTGTACACAACAAATTTAGATTTTTTGATAAAGTATTTTTACTCAAGATTTTTCTGTAACCTTACAAAACTTTAACGAGTCAGTCTGAGTGAATGGTGATTTTCATATTAAAAATAATTATCTTTTTTTTTCATCATAGTTTTCTTATTTCAATTGCATAACCTACAGAACCTCTTTAATGAATATCAAATTTGTTTTTGGTACAATTTTATCTTGCCTCTTATTTTCTCTACCCTAATATTAACTTTAACAAAAATTTAAAAATATGAAACAAAATTAAAAATACCTTTTTTTTACATAGGATGACTACAAATTCTAATAGAAAATAATAATTATTAATCCTAAACTACCTCAGGGTTCTAACATTTTCACATCTGCTTTCATTCAATTTAATCATTCTGTTGCTCTTAGCACCATGTCTAACGATAATAAAATAGCAATAAATCACCTGGTGAGACTTAGAGTATACAAACTACTGAGTTACATCATGTGATAGGAGCCCTTGTATGTTCTTAAAGAAAAAGTTTTCTTTCATTTTTTTCCAACTCATTTTTCTTATTTAACCAAATAACTTTACAATTTTTTAATTTTACTTACTTTTGTTAAAAAAAAATATAATAATAAATAAAAAGTACACATAAAAATCAAGAAAATTAACACTTACCTTAGCTAATTCTATTTTCTCTCTCTATGTTGATTGTCTAAAAAATAACTCGTGTAGCTTTCAAATATACTTTTAGAATACAAAAAAATATCTCGGACACTAGGAGAGCATGCCCCAAAATTATTATAGTTCATCCAGCTTTCCACTAACCTCAGAGCAACACCTTTAATCTAATTTGATGTCAGAATTATCAACATTTCATGTTACTTTACATTGTTGGTTTTGAAACATTCCGTATTAGAGTAAATATCAAACAAGATATTCAAGGAAAACTAAAAAACTTAAATGTGCATTTAGGAGATTGTACAGGTTATGCAAATACAATTTGCAAACTGTACAATGTACAAAAGTATTTTTATTCTTCACATGAACATCACCTTGTAATTTGACTTGTCAGAGTTTTGAGTCACACTGACTTTGGCATTCCATAGACATATCTTTAGTACAAAAACGTAAATTCCAAATTTTCGTGTATAACAGACTTGTGCTGTTGACTAAAAGCTTGTCACATTTTATGAAAATACATTTTGTAAATTCAAGAGTTATAGACAATGTTTCTTCACCAATTAATTTTATGTGTGCACAGACTCAGTAAAATTCATGAACTTAAATCTTCAATTAACTTATTTTAAGAGGGATAATAAGGTCCACCGATAAGCTTGAACATATTGTAGAAATGGGAAAGTCTGTTATGAACAGATTAGGTACGTATAAAACTGTAGGTTTTTTTTGTCACAAAAAAAATTAAGTTTTGAAAGGCTTGGTATGAGGGAAATCCAATTTAAATCCTCAAAATAACAGAGGAAATTTCAAAAACTTAAATATAAAAAAATAATGAATATTTCACTTAAGTGTAAGTTCACATCTGAAACAGTAATGTGTGTGAAACTAAAGTCTTATATTAAGTGAATAACTTGAAAGGGTTTATTGAGTCGGTATTTAGAAATGATTGCATTTAAATAGAACTTTAAAGAAAAAAGGAAGAAGAGGTAAATTCATTGGGAAAATAAATGGACACGTCTCATTTTTATCCTTATACTACTAGATAAATTTTAATTTCACAGTATTTATACTTATATTTTTATGATAATTATCATAATAAATATACATTTCTTTTTGAGAATAATTTTAAAATACCAGTTTCTATCACAATTTTCAATATAAATGTAGGTTGAACACAGTACAGGTTTATCATTATTAAAAACAGCACAATCCAACCTGGTTTCAGTAGAGGAGGAATTATAGCCTGATACTGACGTCCTACACGAATTCTATTTCTGTTTTTGCTTTTTGATTCATCTTCCCAGTAGGAATCAAAATCAGCATCTGCCAAAAAAAAAAAGGAACTGTACCCAAATATACACATATACTTCTCAAAGAAAAATCAATCTTTTGGAAGGTAATACAAATTTATATAACATATAAGAATAGGATGTTCACACAAACATACACGCACAAATTTAAGTTCCTGAAAAGTTTTAATTTTAGTCATTTCTCCATTGTTAAAGTCAAAAATCAAATTATAATGCACCACTTGATCCTATGAGGCTGTTAGAAAAATAAAAATCACAATACCAATGTTTTATGTCCGCAATAAATATATTTATAAAAGGTTAAAAGCAAAAACATACTACACGTTTCAGTGGACAACATAATCCACCATCTTCAGGGCATATGAGGTTTGTTTATGTAATAAAGTACAAGTACAATTAGCACATTGTACAGTGGCACCATTTATAAAATAGAATTGCAGAAATTCACTTACATAGCACATAAGTCTAAGTCTCTATTCAAACTCATCATTTTGTTTTTAACTATTTCTACTGCCTCTTTCATATTCAATTCATTTTTTAAATTCACCAGTTTAAGTAATTTCATATTTTCCCAATCAGGGAGAATAAGAGCTTGTCATGTGTTCAGCCAATGCCAAATCACTTGTTTTTAATGCACCAACCACATTTGAAAGTGTATTTCCAACAGATACTCACCTCCTTACATAGAATGCCTTAATTCCTTTGTCCATCTGCCTATGAGATTTGCATACCACTAGCCTTGAGCTACCTATCACCTAAAAAAGTGCTTAACGTGAAATGTGATAGTGCATAATGTCACCATCATGCAATGATAATCCTCCACTAATAGGAGTGTGACACACCATCCTTGAGCAGGAGCTCCCTCTAAGCACCTGAAATAGGATTTTAAAAAACGCTACATGGTCAAAGAGGCCAGCCTTGCAGGCAATAGACTAGATAAATCCCACATGTGAAGATGAAGGGACAACACTACTGGATGTGTGGATGGAGCAAGAGAAAGTAGGAACAAGGCAGGAGAAGATAGGGCCTGGATACCAATTGATGAAACCGAGGTTGTGCTGGTCAAAGAGGTGCCACCAACAGAACTAATAAAGAAGTGACTCATAATAAAGCAAGAACAGGAATGAGAAGACGAAGAGGAGGGTAAGCATACAGAAAAAGTTGAGACCAGTCCTGGCTGAGAGCATTGACTGCCAGGGCCAAAGGATGAGGAACTGAGGACCAGAAGAGTGGATGTTTAGTATTGAGAGGAGTAGCAATGGAATTGATGAAAAGCATGGCCAATTGAGAGCAAACCCAATGATAAACCTGAGAGTGGAGAGACTACTCCATGGGTAGAATTTTGTGTGGCTAAGAGAGGCAACCAACCACTAAGTTCAGAACCTCAAGCACATCATAAGTAATGAGATAAACCTGGCTGAAATAAGCCCAAAACATCGCATCCAATGAGTAGAAGCAAAGAGTCCTGGAATTGGTACCCCCTTACAATTGATATAAAAATGACCATGTAACAGTCAGAGTAGATCATGAACAACCTATCCATGAGAAGAGGGAGGAGATGGGAACAAGCCTGACAGATGGTGATTATGTTGATGTGGAATGAATGCCCCAGCCCTACAGAGAAGCATCTGTGAAGAGATGGAGATCCAGCTAGAACCGGAAGACTTGATCCCAATTGATGAAATAAAGAAAATGTCTGAAAGATACTGGGATTAGAATGTATAAAAAGGCACCCAAAATGTCAACCCTGGTCATCCACAGACTTGGCAAAAAGAATCACTGAAGAGAAAGGAAACCCTCCATACAGAACTGAGGAATGACATGAAACCAAATGAGACAAGAGATTGATAATCGACTAAATGGAAGGGAGGAGGAAGCCCAGTTTACATGATGGAACCTTCAACATGTTGAACAATGGCTGTCATATCCTTCACAGACAACAAGCCTCCAGCAGCCACATGTTATGAATATCATCACTATCACAGGATGAAGTGGAAGTTACCATCACTTGAGATATCATCATGACAGGTGATCACCAAATGTTTTTTTTCTTCTCTAAGTGAAATTAAAGAAACCATGCTGGTTATGTGAAACAAACATTAAACAGGTAAACTTGAACAAAAATTAACTCAATCAAGAATTTTCACAAATCTCAAGTAACTGATTAACAATTTTGAAACATGTCAAATATTACACTTGTTAGTAACAAGATGAAATTTAAAGTGAACATTGGCATCAGAGATAGATAACTGATCCTGAGATCCTTGTGGGGGATATTGTCACTATTGATCAAGAAAGTATCATACATGATCCATTCAAGTGTACTGTTGGTCATTACTTAGCAGTAGCATGATAGTAACTGGTAGTTGACACAGGTTTAGGAAACATATGAACCAGAACTCAGTTAAATTGGTAAAGATAACTGCAAGTAAAAAATTTCCCTGGTCAAAAAAGGAAGAAATAACCTGGATAAATGATAGCATGGCACTACTAACAGTATAGAAGTTAGGATAACTAGCAAAATAGAACCAAGGTCCTATTCCATTATTCACGTATCACATGATGTCCAGCAGAACAACTTAACTCATGCCAACTGAAGATGTCTTAAATTTTTTTTCGTCCTGCTTCAGGTCATAAATACTATTTTTGGTGCATTATTTGTTCAGTAATTTCAGAAATTAGTTATAATAATGTTGATTTTGAGATATATATATTATATATGAGTGTAGGTAATTTTCTTCATCATTTCATTCTTTTAATTTTTGGTAAAGTCATCCCTCTGTTTTGTTTATACTACTGAGCTACGTTATTTTTTGAGAGGAATCAGACTTCCTAATTTTGTAGAATTAGTAATTTGACATCTGTGAAGTACAAAAAATATTTTTTAATAAGATTTCAAATTACTGACTATACTATGTTCTCACTTCCAGTGGAATATAACTTATATAACAATGCCTTTTTTTCAAATTATCAGCAAGTAATTGGAAACATTTCAATTGCAGTTGTGGTTCAATATACTTAGGCACATTTGACTTTTCCAACATATCTTTTTATGGTAATTACCAATTCACAGAATTTAGCATGTAAATCAACAAAGTATGAAGTGCACGTCCATTTCTTATAACATCCAAACAGTGTTGTAAACTTATGTATTAAATAATTAGAAAAAACGGGACATTTGTCAGAGCAACTTGTGGTACCCATCACCTTTCCAAAATATGCTTACTTATAGATTTAAATAATAAATGTGTCATAAAAGTGTGTCCTGATGTAATGTCCAAAACTATGGAATGGGTCATGTGTGAAACCTTTTGGTGGCACATTAGCAATGGTGAAATATAGTGATGGGAGGATTGTTTAAGGTCATAATAAACGAGAAAAAATCTTAGGTCAGAAAAGTATCTATATATGGGTCTAGAATGGTTTCATAAATTTCTATATGCAGGTATTTATGATAGTATACATATGATTTTCCACTATTAAATGGCATTGTTAAAAAAAAAAAACTCAAAAAACAAGCCTATATTTAATGTCAAAAGAAAAGCACCCTGATGTGGAAAAACATATTAGAATGATTAAAAAGTAAAAAGAAGAATATTCCTCTTTGCCATTAAAGCACAGTGTTGCTCAGTAGGCTATCTGTGCATTATAAGTATTTAGTATTATAGTCTCAAGCCTATTATTAATCTACCACGAGACAAACAATTTCTCAATAAAAATATCTTACAGTAGTTTCTAAGCAGTAAATACAATGTGTATGATAAGGTTTCCTATTTCAAATCAATACAATTTTTTACAGTAAACTTAAATGTGTCATAAAGACTCATCATAACCATAGATGGCAGCTGTCTGGAAGACTCACAGTTCAGAACAGCATTTATTTTTAAGTTTTCATTAATTATTTGACTGGTGTTGAATCAATGTAGGATTCAAGAGATATTTTTATTGTGAAAATACTTACATGCATCATTTAAACTTTACACTAAACTCTTAATAAGAGTATTTGATCTAGAATTATAACGATTTTAAAAAATATTCAGGAAAATGTGTTGCTCTTAAGCCAATTATATAATGTGCAAAGCAGTTTTCACTTTGTTAGGCCTAACTGAACCCTCCAGTTAGTTTACGCAAGCTATTTTTGGTTTTCAAAATCTGCAGTCTGACTTGTCTAAAAATAATTATGAATATATATACAAATACATATACATGATTTTAACATAAGATGACTAAATCTGTATAACATTTACAACTGCAGCTTATGTTCATATCCAGAAATTTTGGATTTGACTGACCTTGAGAATTTTTAAAGAATTATGTAATACACTGCTGAATTACAATATAACTTTATATACTCAATATAAAATCTTAAATTGGGCTGGATAACTGAGTTATTAATTATCACAGAATAGCATATTGTTGCCCCCCCCCATTTAACTGTTTCAAAATAAAAAAATGCATTTTTATAGATTAAATATTTGAATAAAAAACAGTACTTAACTTTTTGTATCTTTATTTATTACATGCCATAAAAAAGCTTATACTTGCATTTCACTGTACTTAATTAAAATAAAAAAATTAAACACAAAACACTATCAGACACACACACACACAAAAAAACACAGATATGTACGGGCACTATTTTATTCTGGAATAATTAACCTGCCCTGGAAATCATCTCAAAACATCACACACTCAGCATGATAAAGGTGCTCTTAGAAACCCTGGGTCAAATATGAAGAGCTCCCATGTATAGTTATACTTTCATGTGTACATGTGTCTATTGTGGGTTAAGCTACAGTTTTGAAGAGGCTTAGGACAAAGAAGTTTGTTTATAAAGTATTATTGTTAAAGGATAATTTAAGCCTATTTTGGAAACGTTTCTGGTAAAGCGCTACAAAACAGAGTTGAAAATTTATTCTGTATCTTGGATTAAAGAAAGTTTTTGTAAAATGCTACACAAGATATTCATAAATTTACATTGTATCTTAACTTAGAGAAAGCTTTTGGAAAAGTACTACAAAAGGGATTTATGAATTTGCATTTTATTTTGACTTAAAGTTTTTTTGTTATATATGAAACTGGTAAATAAATAATTGTTCTTTTGATTGATTGTTTAGATGGAAGACTTTCGAAACGTCATCCTCTACACTTGTTTTTTTTTCTACAACAGGCACTTGCCACCCATTCCAGTGTACCCAACAAGTAATTGTTGGATTCTTATGAAGTGATAAGAAAATTGGCTTGTAGTAAAAAATAGCGTGCTGATAAATGGGATTTTTATGATGTAAAATTTGACTAGAGGGGCTCCTCAGAGGAGTGTTTCAGGACCACAGTCATTAAATATTCATGTCAATGATCTGGATAGTGTTTTGCACAATAAAATCTCTAAATACACTGATGATAATTATATATTCTGAAGTATTTTAAAGTATTTCTCGTGTTCATAAAAGCAGCTAGCTTTCAGTATCAAGTGATAAAGAGAGAGTTCCAGTTTGGATACATTTCTGTTAGCTCCTCATTTACTGTATGCAAGTAAATCTGATTAATTTCTTTTAGTTTTCTAGGCTGAACAACTGGAAATGATTGAGCAAACAGCTTACATTCAGAAATCAGAAGTTTACAGCTGGTGTCATCTACAAAGAAAGTAGCCAAATCTTGCATTATAGGGATATTTTTCTGCATCTGGAGACACTAAACAATTAGTGAACATCAAGAATGGTGACATGTTTTATAAAATTAAATTTTTGGAGGACTCAGCATCAGTTCTAATACTACATAAAAGAACATGACTTGGTAAAAAACTTTGCGAGTTAACTTGACCTAAAGTTTAAAACATGAATCCAATATATACAAAACCTTTGTGCAAGGTTTTGAGAAAGTCATATCAATATATTGTTGTTGCAAAATGCTGGTCAATTTTCCCTTTTATACATTCTTTCTAGTTCTGAAACCAATAGTTGAACTTGAAATGTTGCTATTGCAATGTTCTTGTCCTCATTTTGCAGATATTTGGAAGCCACATGGCAATTTTAAAAGTTCACCCATACTGACTTGGCACAGGCAGAATTCAACATTACTATTATGCACAATGGATTGTAATGTAGACTATACAACAGTAATTGTGCTGAGAAATATAGCACAATTTTCTGCTTAGTTTGCCAATGTTTTATGCTCAATGTTTGCATGTGCAAGTTCTTTTAGGTTGCAGTTGAATACCTTTAAAGAGACTACATTACTTTGTGTTGTCTTCAATAAATAAAAACATTTCCTATATTGCTCCAAAGTAATGTCTTAAAATTCTACTCTTTAATGTATCCACAAACACTAAAATTTAAGTGGTATATAAATTAGCACATAAAATATGATTTTGAGGCAAAATCTTTCACATGTGTCAGTAGTCTGGTGTAATGGCCAGACACAGTAGAGCAGCCATTACATTCTTGGCCATACCCTGTCAAACAAAAGACCATGCTTTTCACAAAGATTCTGTAACTGACTCAATATTTCTGCTACCTTTGTATCAAAGCACATTTCTGTATCTAGTGAAAATTCAATTACTTATCTATTTTCCCTAACATATCTAACAACAATAACAAACAAAAAAAACCTGTAATATTCCTGCAGCGTAGTGTTGTATATAGACAGATTAAATAGTACTTTGCTTTTTTAATGTCACTTACAACAGCTTCACAAACAATCACTGCTGTGGCACAAATCATTTCATTTAGAGGTGAAGATGAAGTGTAACCAGAGTATCCATGATGGTTAGCTTTGATGTTTTGTAGACGTTCAGCCAAATTTGAAAATTGTGTTTGAATTCAAAGATGTATCAGTGACATTGGTATTATCTGAAAACTAGTTCAATTGTTGAAACTGGATCTAAAAACTTTGGGAGCTATGGCCAGATGACACTGTTATTACCGAGTCTAGTCACACTGGACCTTAATAACTAGAATTGTACTTCATAAATCAGTGTTCAGGCTGTTGCTTTTTCATATTTACATTAAATAAAGAAAATAAATTAATGACATTGAAAGGAGCATAATTAGTAAATTAATAAAGTTCACCAATGGTATCAAACTCTTGAAGTTTTCTAACTGCATTGAGAACATTTGAGGTACAATTGAATAACATAAATAGCAAATTGGTCACACAGTTGTGAAATTACCTTCAGTTATAGTAAGTGTAAAACGATACATTTGGATAACATTTAATATAGATGAAGACTTACTAAACAGCATGACTGAAGAAATGAGATCTCAGTATACTGATAGTGATATATAAGTTACTTAAGCCATCAAGTCAGTGCTCTGTTGCTGGTCGATAGTACAGCTAATAATTTTAGGATGTTGTTTACAGAAATACTGATTACAAGACAAAAGAATTAGTTATATCTTTATATAAATCACTAGTTAGGCTTCACTTGGAATATTGTGTACAGGTCTGGTCTACTTTTCTAAGAAATATTAGATTACTGAAAAGCATTTAGAGGAGGGCTGGTAGGGTGATTCTAGAAATGAAAAGGCTAACTTATGGAGATAGGTTAAGTTGTAAACTTGTTTTTTTTTTCTATTGTGAAAAGAAGGATAAAAGGTGATCTCATTGAAATGTATATTATTATTATTATCCAGGATAGTGACAAGATAGAGGCTTTTGACTTTTTATGATGGATCATGAAAACAAAACATTGATGACAGTGCAAGGATAGCCTTGAAGGACAAAATGGTTCCTTATTACCCATAAGTTATACTTGTATCTTTGACCTCAATGACTTTTGATAAACTAAGTCAATTATAAAGCCTCAATATCAACATATTCATAAGAAAATCAATAGTAATACTGGGGAAAATACTTTATGATTAAAACATTGATAGTTTAGCCCTATCTTCAAGAACAATTTGAAAAATACCAAACCTATGCCATCTAATTTTATGAAAGCACACTGGTAAGGGGATGGTACATATCTACATTTTAAAATTAAGGCCTCACAATCCAAGAAGGTTATTAGACTATGTAATTATTAGGATAAAATGTTTGCTTCAGACTTGAATGCAAGTAACTCACTTTGTTAGAGCATTGGTCTGAGAGCACAAAGCCTTGGGTTAAAGCTCTAGTCATGGTAGATTTATTAAAATTATAATACATTATAATTAGCTATTTATGTACCTTATTTGCTATGTAACTAATTCAGAAGTTAAACTAATTTGCTAACAAACTGAATTTCAAAACAAATTAGGCTTTATAAAAGATATCAAAAAATCTTTAGTTAGACGAGTCATTTTGTTCAAACCTGCAAGATATACTTCGAGCATGTATTTAATTTCTCACAGCCTAACAAATCATTTCAAAACAATGCTAACTCTGTAACACTAACAATGCTAGAAAATATGTTTTCTCACAGGCAAATTTGAAAATGTTTTGCATGAGAGAGGTCCAAAATATTTCAATTATTCTTGAAGTGTCAGTGATGCTGTCAACTTGTTAGATTGAACTTTGAAGAGATTTTTTGGATTGTTACTGTGAAATATAATGTATTCAGATGCTACTGCTACAGATCTACTCTTACTATTTGTAGTACTAGTATTAAGACTGAGTAAAGAGGCAAGATCTCTCTGGTTTATTGTTGGCTTAAATAAAATGATGACTGATAATTTACATGGACATCAACTTCTATGTGTAGATGATGACTTTCTAGTCTAACATCTTAAAGTTACCAATTACTCTATGAGAGCTAAAAACAGGTTTATCATTATGATAATTTATAGAAAATATATTCTTGACTCTAACACACGATACAACCTATAAGTAAAAAAAAAAATCACAGTTTATACTACTATACTGACTAATCAAGAGTACCAACAAACTTATTACATAAACTAGAATTTTAGCGTTATTGAATATTGGTATTTTTACCAGAAAAGGCTTAGCCTAACATACCAGAAGTAGATGTTGCATCCATCAAAACTTCAAAACTGATATAAGAGGACCTCTTTTGATTTGATTGTCCTCTTTAAAACAAATCATGTAAGCTTTCATTTGTTGTTTTAAAATCACTCAGTAGTTTAATGAGATATTCGGTTCGAATGCCTCTACATTTTCATTTTGTAAACTTAAAAAAAAAATCTAACTGTTAAATCCAAATTTCAACACCAGGCATAGAGCCTGGAAATTGGAATACACTTCTAAGTTCTATCTGTTTTAAGTTCTGATGAAAACGGGTGAGGCTTTATTGTTTAACATTTTAGATGCATGGTGGCGTTTATTCTTTGGTAGTTAGTTACATTGACCTTGTGTACTTGCTTCGTTAATGGACAAACGGTGTAAATTATACTTAATTTACAAATATATTCAACTGAATTTTTATTGAAATGAATTGACAAAGTGCATTTAAATTCCTATAAGGAACGTGCGAAAACCAAAACTAAGTTTAGTTTAATCTTAATGTCACTCAAGTAAAAAATCACTCTCTTTTAAATATTGCTCTTGGTAACCTACGTTTTTCATATATTGTAAAAGAAAATCTTCCGAAATGGTTTATTTCAGCGTATCTAAACTTAAACACGTGTTTTTAAAAAGGAAATGTATTAAACACATGCATATCTAATAATCTTGACACCTTCAAAATAGTTTATTGCAGAATATGGGACTTTAGTTGCAGTAATTTGACGCATTTGAAGCTATAAAATATTAATGATATATGATGTCAGTAAAATGATATCAACCATTTTTTCATCTTTGACCGATGCACAATATTGGCCAAAAAATACAAATTTAAACTGAATAGCGTTTGTTATATAATAACCAACATAAGCTAAAAATCAACTTCTAGAATAAGGTCATGTGCACAAGTCCTAGTTGACAAATAAGATTGTGAAAAGCATTCCTACATATAAATGCTAGGTTTAAATTAAAGTACGTTACTAACTGGATAGCACGATGGGTATGTGTGTGTGTGTGTATAATCATATTAAAGTTGAAGTTAAATCGACCTTTCATTCTAAGATGGAATTTAAACCCAAGGAAGAAGTAACTTTTTGTTTAATGTTAACAATCTTCCAATTATCGAGTAAGTCAAACATAATTGAAATCGTAAGTACTTACGGTAAAGTTGTGGCAAACGGAGCTTAATTGTTATCATAATTAGTAGCTTATACGATCAGCTAAGTTTAATTATTAATTAGTAACTAGTTTTAGCCATCAAGAAGGCTCATTATCGACTTCTACTTACAGTATAAAACTAGTCCTTCTCGGGACTTCCCTGAATAAGGATAAAACTAGTTAGCATCTAATTATATATAAATTAGTTATTTATTAGATTTTTAGACTTAGGTGATCATACAGGCCATTAACTATGACAGCGATAATTGAAATTGTTACTTGTCTACAAATATGTTTTCAAAATAAAACAGTAATACTTTAATTTTTAAAACAAGAAAGACAAGGAAAGAATTTCCTCTTTTTTCATATATTTTATTCGCCAATTCCTTCTTCATGTTATACACATCGATATATTCAGGGCAGCTGCTTTTGTGATATTCCAAGAGATGTCACTACCAGCACTTCTGCAGATTCATTTTTCTAGATTAAAAATCAATGAAGCTAATAGGTTAAATAGTTCCTCAATTTGAGATTTTTTAGTTATTGCTTATAAAATGAGGCTC